AATAGAGAGCAGAGCTACGGGTCTGTAGTTGTAAGGGTCGGTATTAGGTCCTTTTTGGGACGGGCTGGACATGAGCAAATTTCCAACTCCTTGGGACAGTACCGGATTCGTAAGAAATCTTGAAAAGAACTGGAACAAGTTTCACTGTATATCTCTTCAGTACAATAGCAGGAAGCAGATAAGGACCAGAAGCTTCGTTGATGTTAACTTACATGGGGAAGAGGCAAAGCAGATAACAAAATTCCAGGAACACTTCAAAACGCTTGCAAAGAACAGACTAGGGTTCGTCAGTTTGTAGAGGCTGTATGTTTCTAAGTCGAATTATGGGAATAAATATAATACAGGCTGGGCCATTAAGTTAAGCGGATCTTAAAAAATCATAGAAAAAAAACTATAAAGCAAAGGGAATATAATTTATATTTTTAATAAAGTAGCCACATGGGAATTTTATTTTCTTAAAATAACATCATTGAGATGTGAGCCATCGAGTCATACGCACTCCTCGAATCTCGACTTCAAATTCGTGAAAACTCGCTGGCACATCGCTTGTGAGATAGCGGATATCTCCTCGGAAATGTTGTGCTTGAGCTGGGCTCTTGAGGTATCCCCAGAGAAAAAAAAAACAGTGGCGTACGATCTGGGCTCCGGGGAGACCACGGAATGTCCCCTCGTCACGATATCAGTTTTCCACTAAACATTTCGTTTACAACTGCTAAAGACTCTCATAAGATGTCACGCCATCTTGTTAAAACCAGGTCCTGCTATGGTAGACTTCAAAATTATGCATCCGTGGAAAGAAAAAGTTACATAGCATTGCTGTGAAGCGAATAGAATTTACCGTTGCAGTCTGGTCTTGCTCGTTTTCGAAGAAATAGGGTACGATGATTCCTTCAGCCGACATGGCCATCCAAACTGTAACATAACGCGAATGCGAAGGTCGTTGGTGTTTTACTATAATTTGGGATTTTCTACTGCCCAATACCGGTAGTTTTGCTTGTTGACAAATCCATACAATGAAAATGAGCTTCATCAGAAAGGACAATATTGTTCAAACTTGGAAAGTGCTCTGACATTGTTTCTGCAAACGCACGGCGTAGATGATGGTACTGCAGTTTCAATTCCTACACTAATTGTAGTTTATATTAGTACAATTTAAGGTCTTTTACCAAAATACGCCTTACAGATGTTATTGATATGGCGAGCGCAGCTGATCTCTTTCGGTATGATACTTAACTGTGGTTCGCGCCATACGGACGTCGCAACTTATAGTTTCCCCTGTCCGAATTGGCCTTGGAAATTGGATAATACATTTAGGCGACACATCCATATGGATAGTAACTCTTTGGAAGCGATTAGCTAAAAAACTACCCATCATACTTATAGAGGAATCGGAAAAACAGTAAAATTTACATTTAGCAAGTAGCACACGATGATTTAGACTATCGGTTGCCTTACTAAAATCAAGAAGTGCTAGTACTGTTATCATATGCTGATCCCACGTTCTAATAATGTTGTCTGTCAGCTCCAACAAGGCACCTGCAGTATTGTAACCCTTCCGGAAACCACATTGTATTGATGGTAATATTTGAGTTTCCAATAGATATTCATTTATCGGAGCGTACATTCCCTTCTCCAATAATTTAGATAGCACAGGTAGAATACTAATAGGTCTCAGATCAGCATATGTGGGATTACTGTTTTTTGCGAGAGGTAATATTAGCGATTCTTTCCACGATTCAGGAAATAATCCGTTCATTAGACAATAATTTATAATATGGAGGACGTGGCTCGAAATAACAGGCAACATAATTTAAGCATCCTAAGCGATATACCGTCACATCCTAAGCCATTCGATTTTATGGATCGAACGTATGAAGCTAACTCAGCTATATTATTTGGTCTAAAGTTGAAACTGCTATTAGAATAATGTTTTTGTTATAATATTCAATCGTCTCGAAGAGGAACAATTATCTTTAGTGAAAACTGAACAAAAGCAATCATTAATTTCAACTGGGTTTCTTAAGTGGGTGGGGATATCTGCATTTTTGGTAACTGCACACGCATAGATTTTAAAGCTTTGTAAAATGTTGTAGGACCACTCTGTTTACGAAGATACGAGAGATAGGCTGCTTTTTCACTCCTGATTTTTGACAATGTTCATTTTCTTAGTTGCTGATAATGGTTCCATGATGATTCCGGTTTATCAAATTTGAACTGACTGAAAGGTCTGTTTTTCTTTTTCATTAAAAGTTTAAGATCAGGAGTGAGCCAAGGAGCATGTGGTTTATTTACACGAACAATTTTCAAAGGAGCATGTCTATCAAAAATAAATTTTATCCCATCAATTAAATGTAATTTTGTCATCAATATCATTAAAAGAATATATGTTATCCCAAGGATAGTTGAGAATATCATTTTGAAAGTTAGTAATTTCAAAGTGTTTAAAATCTCTGAATTTCACAAATTTTAGTTTGGGCTTTTTGGACTCCAGAGTTGTCTCACAAAAAACTAAATGATGATCAGGGAATAGGTCCATGAACACCAGAATTTGAGCATATTGAGAATTACTGATAAGTATAGGATCTAATAGACTACTCGAAGACCTTTGTTATTCTAGAAGGTTGATCAATCACCTGTTGGAAGCCATATACATTAAAACAGTTTTGCAATTGGTTATCAGGGCTCAATAGATTAATGTTCATATCTCCAACAATAAAACATGATCGAAACTAGGTAAGAACATTATCAAAAAAGATAATAGCTTCGTTGATATTACTATTGATAGGTTAGACCAAGGGCTATACTCAGACCGCATATTTTAAGTTTTATCCATAAACTTTCGACTTTGGAAGAGCAGTCAATATGGTCCTCCATTTTTATCGATTCACAAAGTAACTCATTCCTGACATAAATGCCTGCACCACCACCGCGGCTTTCTCCGTCTTTACGGTAGAATTTATAACCTGAAACATATAACAGTGTATCTGGAATATTGCTATTGACCCATGTTTCAGAAAGGACAAAAAAAGGAGAAGATAGAAGAGATCGGATATTCAAATGACCAAATTTTATTTATTTTTTTCTTTCATAAATTATAGAGAGAGAAAAAAAAATAAAAACAAATTGATTATTTGCTTTCAATTTAGAATAATATTCGCGAAAAATGTTGATAGAACTTGTATACCGGACAATTTTTATCAGTAGGGGCATGATTGACGTCATTGGCTTTCTATATTTATTATTTGCAAAATAACAGTTGCAGCATGTGGTAGTTGACTGATTGCAAGATGAGCTGTCATGATTATCTCCACATTTATAACACATTATATGATGTTGGCATTTTTGCTTGGAGTGGTGAAATCTGAAGCAATTGGTGCATTGACTAATTTAATTATAATTTTCATGTACTGTTATATTTTGAAAGCCTAATAAAATGTTGCCATTGTTTTGATCAAAAATGTGTTTGAATAGTTTACCTGTCACTTCAGCAAGTATTATATAAAACTTTTTATGTTTTAGGTTTTTCATATATGTAACGTTTATATCTTCTTTGGATACAAAATGATTTTGTCGGACTATTTCTTCTTGTAGTTTTGCTTCAGTAACTTTTTCGTCTGTTCTGTATCCAATGATTTTGATTTTAGATTTGAACATTTTGGGCCTGATACTTTATAAGTTGTTGGCATGCTTTTTTCAATTTCCTTTTTCAGCTTGCCGTGAATACAGTCTTGAACATTGATTTCAATAGCTCCATTTCTGCAGTTTTTCACATTATCAATATTAATTTGAAGCTTTGATAGATTTAAGTTTTTATTCGGATCTTTCCCTGTTTGATAATTGGATTCTTGTTCACTTGGCGAAATAATAATGCTTTTAAATGATTTTCTTTTTATGCAGCTTGGTACCTCAGTTGAGACTGCCTGGGAATATGAATAATATGGTACACCAGATTTTTCTATCTTTTCCATACTTTCATTGAGCTTCTGAAGTGTGTTGGTTAATGAATCTATCCCAACATTATTTGAGAATAGTATATCAGATTGTTCCACAAATCGCGGTTTTCATTAGTCAGCTGATTAATTAGCTTATCCTTTTCAATCAGGAGCTGATCACATAGTTTTTTATCTCAGAGCGACATAATCTCTTGTTTTAAGGATTCCAACGAATTTTTTCTTGTGCCTGTTTCAATGAATTTGTCTTCTCTCTTCTTCTTCTCTTCTCTCCTTTTTTTCTTGATCATTTTCAGTAATTTCTTGGTCCTTTTTTTTTCTTCTTGCTTATTTCCTATTTTTTAACTAGAGCAATTCGCGATAAGACAACTGCTACCCTGTTTTGACTCGACTTGACAGAGAATGACCTATTTATCAGAATTTTTGTGACAGCAGTGCACAAATTCAATATGGCCAAAGAGCAACGAACACTGTAGAAAAGCTGCTACGCCAACGTTCACAGGGATACAGCTACTTCTTAGGCTTAAGATTTCTTCAGCCGATTAATTATTGTGAGTTCTTTTAATCGATTTATCTCAAAAAAACGGAGAGCTTTACAAATTAGTATACAGCAAAGTTAGTATAAATTCAATAATCGTACGTCTTTCTGGCCCACCCTGTATAATGGTCAAATGAATCAGTCAGTTTGTCCCTAACTTCCAGATATACTGCGTGGAGTTGTTTTACTTTATTTTCGCTATTTTGTTTGATCTGTTTAAGCTTAACTTTATCGTCTGGACAAAATCAATAATCCAAAAATAGTTCATCAATACACATATGTTTGCCGACAACCCAAGTTGCAATAAGCTCACTAATCACGGATGGCTATGGCACAATATGTTTTTGTTTTAAGATTCAAAGAGCAGCATTTAGATATAAAAAGGACTCCCCTATATTTAGACGGTAGATAACGAAACAATTGTTCCAAAAATGCACGCGAAGTACGTATCGCTGTCGCGTGTTTCGTTTGATAAAAATAGTGTCGCACTTAGGATCGCCAATATTGATAGAATTTTTTATTCGCGTGGGAGGATATTGTAGCATTGCGCTTGTACATACTACATGATTTACTCGTCATACACCAGTATCTGGAGTTCGTATCTATATTTTTTAATATTTTCTGACCTAGCGAAGCGCAAAAAATATATTTTTATGCAATTATAGTGCACTTGTCATCCAGATGTACCGGCAATTTTGTTAATATGTAATTTATACTCGTAACTACGAGTTATAGGTATATGGTGCCCGGATGTTATGACATAGGTTATTCCTCAATAGTGTAGTGTTTTGCAGTAGTTTCGAGTTATGCTAGAAGATTTAAGGAGGGACTTCCAAAGGAGTTGGCCACAGATTTTAGCTATAGCTATAGGTAAGTGTTTTATTGTCACGAAAAAACTTATAAAAAAATATTTTTTGTTCAATTCAACATATAGGAAAACAAGCTGCTTCTAGTTTATTATTATATAACTACTTTTGTTGAACGTAATTATTAAATGTAATCATGTTATTATCAAGTTTAATTATAAGATGTTGGAGAGGTTTACTTTTGTGCTGTTTACGTGAATTTCAATATGAATAAATTTTATGAAAATAAAATACTGCATTACCTACTGCATTTTTCTTTTGAAAATATAATATAGATAGACTAAAAAAAGCAGTAAATTTGTTTTTGCAGAGTATAGAAGCAGTAAATCACATGTTACTCAATAATAATCATGATGCGACATTACATTTCAATTACTCTATACAGTGATGTAACTTTGCAATATTCATTCACGTTGAATTTTGAACTCAATTCTCTGTCTTTGATTTTTACACTTTACTGCCTTTTACCTAAGTACAGCAGTATACCTATCTGAAACTTGGAACTTAAAAACATTTGGGGTTATCCAGAAAGGATTAATGAAGAACTGATGGAATCGCAATCGTATGGACTTATAAAGAAAATAAATATACTAAGTGACATATAAATCCGAACACCCAGTTTAAATGGTTTTATTTTAATAAAAGTTGGTGAATGTATTTATCTTACTGTAAATAACAAGTGAAAAAATTTTCAGCCTTATCAGTCCGGTTTTTATACTGTTTTTTTAATTCACTAACGCTCTAAAAATGAATATTTCAGCCGCAGTAAAGAATCAACGTTGGCGGATTTTGGTTCTTGACATCCTTTACAATCGGTTACGATGTCTAGAGTACGGAGACCTGTACGATTTCGTCAACTTAGTGAGTTTGATAGGGGCCGTATAGTGGGACTTCGGGAAGCTGAACTTTCTTTTCGGGCAATTGCAGTTAGAGTGCAAAGAAGTGTAGACACTGTGGTTAGGTGTTGTCAGGCATGGCTTCGAGAAGGCCGTACGCAAAGAGCAAGGGACACTGGACGCCGCCGTAGAACAACAGACCGTGAAGATCGCCGCCTAAGATTATTGGCCTTAAGGGACCGTTTGCAAGAGTCACAATAGACTTCTTTCAACATAATGATGTCACATTGTTACCATAGCCACCAAGATCTCCCGACTTATCCCCAATTGAGCACGTGTGGGATATGATGGGTAGGAGATTGCTCAATTTGCAACGTCCTCCTCAGACTCTAGAAGCACTTCGAGAGGAGTTGGTGGTTGCCTGGAATGAGATACCACAGGAGGACATTGACCACCTGATCAGAAGCATGCCTAGGCGCGTTGGAGAATGCGTAGCACATCAGGGTGCATCCACACATTATTAAAGGTCAAAGGGCTTTAAAACAGTGCAATCATTTTGAAATTTTTATCATTTACTAATTATGCTTCATTAAGTACTTATACAAAATTTTATTAAAATAAAACCATTTAAACTGGGTGTTCGGATTTATATGTGACTTAGTATATCTGAAAGGTATATTCTGACGCCTTGACGGAGCTTCACGCTATGTTGCCCCGTAGGCATGGCATGTCTTTTAGTAACGTGCCGCAACATTTCTCATCGTGAAATGTAAAGCAGTATGATTGGCGCTTAATCGGAGCAGTTCACAGTGATTTTCTAACAAATTTTTAAACCAGATTCCGATTGCCATTACGTACAAACCATCAAACTTATATCAGTTTATTATGAGAGCATTGTACCTTTTGTGAAATCTGAACCCCCTCCAGAATTTTTTGGCAGTCATTCAATGATATTGTACTTATATTGATGCTGGTGGAGGCAATAATAAGTGCCAAATGTAATCTAGTACTATTCGAGAATCCAACTCAAGAGCCAGTATTGGTTGTCTCGTTTTCGTGCTGATCCCCAACATTTTTCCAATCAGCTTTACATTCGTTGCTGTAATTATCAGAGCCTCGGTAGCTTTTAAGCATCACTAATAAAAGTACATTGTATACCATGTTTGACAACTCAGTCATTATTGGACCAGCACTCTTATAACCGCGTAGCGTAGTTCAGTGCGCCTTCTCAACCGAAGTACTTACATTTTTTTTTCAAGTTTCAACTAGAAAATAATTATGAATTGCTGTGGCGTCTAGGGGGCAGCCTCACGAATAATATTAAGACTTTATAAAAAATATAGGTTTGCATTCCATATTAAACAGCTACAACTTTTTAATCTCTTGATACCATTTCGTATCTTACTACTAATAAAAACGGCTTCATTATGTGGCAAAAAATCATCAAAATATCAGCGCAAAAGCCTACGTAGAAGTGGTAGGTGGTAGTGTCTCATATCATTTATGAATATTTTGTGTGTTTCTTAACATTAAAAATCGTTTCCATACTCAATGAGGAGCTATACTCAAAATTACATATTTTTCAATCGTTCTAAAATATACTCAGCGACATTAGACGTGTTACACCCAGAAAAAAATAATATCTTCAACTTATTTTTTGGCAACATAATGACTATATTCAAAGTATGGCAGCAATCTCAACGTTTTATCGTTGTTAAAATGTTATCTCTTAGTGTTTGTGTAGAAAGCACTTTCTGGCAGCTGAGTAATACAGACATTTTTAGTTACTGCCCTCGCATTTGCTAGTTTTAAGCATAAAAAATGCCTCGAGGTCAAAGACGTCCCAATTATGATCAAGTTGGCGACTTTGACAGGGGTAGAATTATTGCCTATCGAGATGTTGGTTTGTCCTATCGCGAAATTGGCCACCTTGTTAATTTTACTGCAATGGCAGTAATTCGTGTGGGTCGTGTGGATAGAAGAAGGTAGAGGAACCCGAACAAGGCCAACTCGTCCACCAAAGCGTTCCACAGAGCGTCAAGATATGCGCTTCAGACAACTAGCCCTACGAAACCGTTTTGCTACTTAGCGTCAGATCGCTGACCTATGGTTTGGAGAAGAAAGTCTGTTACTCTGCGTACACTCTAGCGCTGCATTCAAGCCTTTTTATTTTTTTCATATCGTATACTATTACTGCTTCCTCTGACCACGGTCGTCAACATTTTCACTGGAGCAGAGAACGGAAATATTGGTAGGCAGAATGGCATAATGTCATCTTTAGCCACAGATCGCGATTCTGTCTAGGTACGCATGATGGTCGTAGAAGGGTAAGACACAGGACTGTTGGAGTAATGGTTTGGAGAGCTATTGCCTATGGTAGCCGATCAACCCTTCTCTTTGTTCAAGGCAATATGACTGCTGCGCGTTATGTTGATGACAAACCACTTTGCTGCCATATCTAGAGGGCCGTTCACATGTCCTTTTTCAGCAAGACAACACACGTCCCTATATTGCTCGTCGTACTACCGACTTTCTTCAAGAAGCAGGCGTTAACGTTTTGCAGGGTTTAAATCCCATCAAACATGTGTGGGATATGATGGGGAGACTATCCACTTTGCACCATCCATCAAAGACTCTGCCACAGCTAATCCAAGAAGTACGAGTTGCTTGGAATGATATGCCACAACCAGACATCGACCATATCATTTTGTCGATGCCTAGACGTATACAAGAGTGTATTCAGCTGCGGAGTCGCCCACCACATAATTTTTTTTTTCTTATTGCTTGTCAATAAAATTTTGTGAGAATGTTATCGTTTCATTCTTGATGTAAAACTACCTCATTGCCAACAAATCAAGTAGAAGAAATTATTTTTTCTGGGTATAACACTTGTGTCACATTTTATAAAGTTCAGTTGTCAAACGCAATGAAATTGGCGAAATACAATTTCAAATTGCATTATTAGTTACCTAGTTGTTTTATGCTGTCATTATTTACCCAAGGAGAGAAGTGATACTTCTCAATAAGGCATTGCCGTCGATAATATGATGGTAATTTCTCATGTTAGTAGTAGTAGTGAAAAACTCATTCAATTAAGTACATACATACTCAACAAACTAGCGCAAGTCGAAGACACGTGCCAAGTCAATATATTTGACTTCATTTCTTTATGAAGGAATAATCAGTATGTCCTTGGAATAACCATTATTATTTCCATGACTAAGTAACGTTGAATGATAATAGTAATGTGGGGTAATGGATTGTTAATTGTACAATGAACAGCGTTTACTTAATTTTGTCAACTGTACAGTATTTACTTAATTTTATTTTTAGGCAGCTATTTACTGAAAAAATAAGTCATACAAATCTTTATCTTACAAGGTGCTACAGAATGATGTCATGAATATTCAAGGGCAAAATCAGCACGTGAATTATGAAAATAATTTCTCGTTTCCATAATACACTTCTAGTTCTTTACGTTTAGCGAAAAATTCTATTTAGTTAGTTTCTCAATATGTTTTTCGATGCTTTTATTAAAAAGCTTCTAGCGCGGTTGAATATTTTTAGTAATGGTAGATAGATCGATGTATTAGTTAATAAAATACTCTTCATTTCTGCACCTGTCTGTCTGACAAGAGACCTGAAGGTGATCACTGCCTCTCGGGCTGCAACAATCTGATACAGTTTAATGCTCCCAAAGCATAGCCTTGGCCAAAAAAAAGCACCACGGCGCTCATCTCGTTTCGGTAGATAGCCGAGTTCTACCAAAGAGCCCTTCATTTCGATTGGTCGGAATCCAGATCGGCGGTCTGGCTTTCTTCTCCCGCTATATCAACGGGCGTTGCTCTTCAGTACTCTACTCCATGATGCACAAGCGCTATGAGCCTTCCAGACAAAGCCACCTGAGATCCATCTCGAACTACGTACATTCAGTACTAGCCGGTACGACCACTCCCCCTAGAGTTTCGAGATTTTGAAACGATCTGCCTGAGGAGGCTTTTCCCAGTTCTACTAAGGCGGTTCGAAAATCGGATGAACAAAAGTGTCTTACAGCAGCCGCGATACCCCGATATTTAGCTTCTGACTACGCGGCTGTTTCGGTATCAAAAAGAGTAGTTTTCAAGTAAACTCAATCTGGCTCTGGGATGCGATATCATTTTTTGTAAAAACGATTAGTGTACTGTTACTAAACATAGAAACTTGCCGACACATACACCATTAAAAATAATGTTTGGTGCCTTGAAAAATATTTGATTTAGTAGCGACTCAGCTTATCTGAAATATTTCTTGTAGGATGTCTGGGAACACTGAACACTGGCTTCCAATATGCCTGGACGTCCCCGTACATCATCCAGATCACCAAGGACAAGATCGATTACCACATATCGGAAGATGAAGCAGCATACTTTGCTATCATCCCTCCTCTAGCCATGATGCTTACTTGTCCAGCCTCATCTTACCTCACCAAGATAATTGGGCCAAAGAAAGGCTTCCTGTTGACCACGATTCCTAACCTTCTTAACTGGATCCTGATTGCAACAGCAGAGCAAGCCTATGTGTTTTATATAGCGAGGTTTTTTGTTGGAGTGTCAGATGGCATCATGTTTACGTCTTTCCCAGCGTATATTGGAGAAATATCTACTCCAAAGGTTAGAGGTACCTTTGGAAATGGACCAACCCTTGCTATATATTTGGGCGAGTTTCTCATCAACCTTTTAGGTACTTACTACTATTTATTTGCAATAGAATTTAAGACAAAAATATTACTATGAATAATATAACTCCTGAATCTTATCCTGTGATTTTCATGTTCGTAGGTCTGCATTGTCTGGCCGAATCCAACCACATATACTGGGTGATTCTCTAAAGTGGCTCACCGTTATAACTTTTTTATTATTGAAGATAGAAGAACGAAGTTTATAGATAAATTTACATTTTTCGGCATATTCACTTGCTTTGACGTTCTTCCGACAAGTCCAACTTTCGATTTTTTAAATGGGACACCCTGTATATTTTTACAGATTTCGATCGGGAATGACGTTCTGAACTCAACAGCGCCTAACTTGTCAATATGTGACAAACAAAGTCGTTTTTATTTCAATTTTTATTTTTTGATCTAGAATGTCATGGATCCTGTAAATCGCTTCATTTTTGATCAAGTAACACGGGAAAAATACGATTTTGAGGCAAACGACCTTATACTCATTTTGAAGATTTTCTAAATGTTACAAACACTAACTTTTTCAGTTTACTTGATTTTTTCAAATAGATAGGGGGTGGCTCGTCAGCTTTTTCTAAGAGACCACTTTCTTACGAATAGTTTGACACTACACACTCTTATTTCATTTTCCCCATTTTTCTGAATACATAATTGTAAGAAAGGATCATACCTAACAACAAATAACACATACTCGTATGTATCTGCATTCGGTATGCAGTAAGTCCTATTGTTCTAGTCATCCGTGACACACAATTGAAGGTGTCGCTAGGATATCACTTCAACAAATACCTAATCTAGGTTAGTAAAAATAGTCAGTTTTAAAAAGTTATGAGTTAAAATGCATCTGAGGCAGCTCGACTTTATTTTAGGAGATTCCCCAAGCATCGCAATCCCGTTCGGCATTATTTTCCAAAATTCTGGAACAGAAAATGTAAAATGAACCAGAGGAAAATGTCAATAATTTAATCGTCACTGAAGGAAAGGGAATAGGCGTGTTGGCCTATGTTGAATTAAATTGTACAGCGAGAATGTGACATCCGTTTCGAGAATAGGAAGATTCGCCATTTTTTTATTTTTACTCAAATCGAGAGATTCTTTTATTAAAGAGCGATAAAAAAAATTGAGCAATAAATATTGATATTTACGTCGACTAAATATATTTCAAAATCAAGTATCGGCGCGAGGCTGGAAAACGTACCTATGCGCGAGACTAGACCGCGTGACGTCAGTAGCCAGACACACCTAGCTAGCTCGCCCGCTGCATTTACCATTCTCACAACAACGCCCCAGTAATCGGTTTGGAGTAGTTAGAGCTGGTACGATAGATTATTGTTAAATTCTGTGAACTTCTACAGTGTTAAATGTCGAACAGAAAGTGGTGTTTTGTGCCAAAATGCACAAGTACGTCAAGTACAACACCACAAAAAAATGTTGTGAGTGTTCCAAAAGCTGCCGCACAACGTAAAAAGTGGTTTGACGCAGCTCGACGGTAAGTAAAATCAGTTACTTCCACGTCGACCATGTACTGCTGCGAAGATCATTTTGACCTGGAAAAAGATATGGAAAACTATCCACAATACAAGATGAGTACCGTTCGAGCCCGGATGAATCCTAGTATTGCACCTCATAAATCTGCATGTCAACTGGGTAGACAATTAAGCTCTACGAAACGAGTGTTCAGCGAAAAAAGGGCAAGGCAGAAAGACATCGCCAAATATTTGCAGCCAGCGGCGGCAGGCCGGGCGGGACCATCATCTGAAGAGTCCGAGCCTGACGGCGAGGAAGTTATTGAGGAGGACCATGATGAACTGCCTGAACCTTTAACAGAAGAAGTTCAGTCACAGGTATGTGACAAGGCATGTCAAACCAAACAGGTACATTTTAGATGTTGCTGTATTTCAGAGCGGCCAAAAAACGTTTGCAAGTGGAAAGTGAACGGTCAAATCTTGAAAGACCCGCAATAACAGAAACATCCGAATCTGATTCGTATGAAGCCAGTGGAATCAGTACTGAAAGTAGTGACAGCGAAGCTGACCAGCTTACTTCCGAGATCGTAGTCATTCTAAGCGCAATATTAGTCAACGTTTAGAACCTGGCTTCATTGCCCATCCCCCAAATGCAGCCCTTAACTTTGTTATTTTAGTAGCTATAAAATTCTATAATAAGACTGCCCTCCCCCCCTAATTTAGGTATTCCCCAATAGACCCTAAATAATAAGTCTCTACATCCCTGGAATTTCTCTCATTGAAAGCATATTAGGTACCATACTTTACTTCAGAATAGTGTAATAAAGCCTCATTATGTATGCAAAAAGAATCAATTTCGGGGCTCTTAATAGACGTAACAAGATAAAAAGGTATGCATGATAATTTAAATTCCATAATATTTTACCTAGGAAGAAAAAAGCAGATATAAATAGCCTTCAAAATTATTGTCACGAGCAGGAATTATTATGTCTTAATATTATTAGCTTTCAATAGACTAAAGCAAAGCAGAATCAATTTTTGCGGAGAAATACAGAAAAATACTACCCATCTGAGGTTTATTTAAATTTGCGTTATTTGCCAAAAACTCGTTCCACATTCACATGGGGTAAATTTCGCGAATCAGCTTTAGGATAACCTTGGAGCATTGTGCTAGTACACAAACGTCGGTCCCAGTTTATATGTATAAATTCGTATTCGTATACTCTTCACTCCGTATACAAGACACAAGATACAAGTACTCTATGAGGACGACAGCGCGTGTCTGGCTACCCACGTCACGCGGTCTAGTCTCGCGTACACGTACGTTTTCTAGCCTCGTGTCGATCCTTGATTTTAAAATGCTTTCCGTCGACGTAAATATTAATATTTTGCACTCAAATTTCTTTGACCGTTTTTTTATAACAAAAGCCCTCGATTTTAATTAAAATAAGAGAATTGCTAAAAATGTCGAACCTTCCTATTCTTCACAAATATAATTATCGAACATTCAAGTACAAATTACACCAACAATCTTTACGTTGACGACCACAACTGAAGACTAACTTATTGCAACTGGTTTTTGACTAAGCACAGAGAAGATGTACGTTTTCCGTTTAAAATTATTTATTCAAACGATAGGCGGATTACCAACTTAGGTATGTTCAATCGGAATAATAAAAGGTACAGGTCACAAACAAACTTACGTGCAAGAAGGAAATTTTCAAGAGCGCTTGGTCTCAATTGCTGGATGGGTATTATTATTCGAGAAAAACTTTTGGGGCCAATAGTTTTCGATGGACAACTTACTGAGAGATTTTTTTGGGGGGCAATTAGAAATCAGGTTTTTAAAACTACGTCAGATACTCACGAAGAACTGGAGCATAAAGTAAGGGCAGCATTCCGGAACATCCTGCGGAATAGTTGATCAATGTGGTGCAAGCAACAATTGATAAAGATGAAGTTTGCCGTGATCAAGAACGAAATTTGAACACTTAGAAACTTAATCACACATTTCTGAATTTTATTTTCTGTTAGAATAATGATACGGTGTGTATTTAATTCATTGGTATAGTTTACTCCAACGTAGGCCAACACATCTATTTCTTTTTCTTCATGTACGATAAAATTATTCACATTTTAACTTAACTGGTTCGTGGTACAGTTTGTGTTTCGAAAGCAACACCTTCAATTGTTTGTCACGGGTAACTAGAGTAATAGGACTACCAATACAGATGATATGTATGTTGTTTGTTGATTGATATGATCGTTTCTTAGAATTATTTAGAAAAATAGTGAAAATAAAATAAGAGTGTATAGTATCAAATTATTCGTAAGAAAAAGGTCTCTTAGAGAAAGCCGACGAGCCACCCCCTTTATATTTGGGAAAATCAAGTAAACTGAAAAATTAGTGTGTGTAGCTTTTAGAAAATATTTAAAATGACTCTATGGTCGTTTGCCTCAAAATCATATTTTTCCCGTGTTACTTGATCAAAAATAAAGCGATTTACAGGATCCATAGCATTCCAGGTCGAAAAATAAAAATTGAAATAAGACATTAAAATTGTATTTGTCAAATATTGACAATTAGGGCGTTGTTGAGCTCAGAATGTCATTCTCCATCGAAATCAGTAAAAATATATAGGGTGTTCCACTTGAAAATCAAAAGTTGGAGTCGTTTCCGGTCAAATCGGAAATACGGCAAAGCAAGTGAATATTAGTCTAATCATATCAGCAAATTTCCCCGAAATAATTGTAAAGTCTGGTTTTATTGGTGCAAGTTGTTCAGGAGGGTATTTAAAACATGGACCCATAAAATGGGTACACCAACTTTTGTGGGAAAAGTTTTTATTTGACAACAAAGAATGAGAAAACGTGTTTATTGGGACTCAATCGAAAGTGTTGACAGGAGCAAACAACTTTTGATACAAGATTTTTAGGTATTTATGAGACCACACGTGAAAAGATCCGACTAATAGCAAAAACGTTATGGCCGAACAACGAAGCAAAATGTAGATTTTAGCACTTGGTAATGCAACGATAACTTCACGCAACTACTTGAAATTCTTCAAATTCGTAGGATTCATACTTCTAAATAACAACAACAAAATTGGGTTATGTTGGTCAAGTAGTTTTTTGAGAATATCTAATTGTTTATCCCAAAGAACTGTTTTCCTGCCATCACTACCAGTTTGTTGAACAATATACAAGGTTCGTTCAAATAGCATTCAATCGCGAAATACACTTGTTTACCTTGCCGATATGAATCACAAACCATTCCGAAAAATAAATGTTATTTTTAGGCGAAAAACAAAAGTTACGTTTTTTTTTTCTTCTAAACAAATTCAAATATTTCGTATTTGTGAGTAACTGAACAAATGCACTACGATACTCGAAAAACATACTTTACTATACATATTTTAAAACAAAGCCGATGTGTCTATCATGTTTTGTTGCGAATTACTTACGAAATGTGTGAATTTGTTTAGAAGAAACGACGTAACCCATCCTTTTTGCATAAAAATAACATTTATCTTCCAGAATGGTTTGCAATTCAATTCGGCAAGGTAAACTAGTTTATTTTGCTATGAAATGCTCTTTGAAGTAACCCTGTATATTGCTCAATAAACCAGTAGCGATGGCCGAAAAATAGGTGTTTTGGGATAAACAATTAGAAATTCTCAAAAACTACTTGACCAATCTACTCCAATTTTGTTGTGGTTATTTAGGAGTACGAATTATATGAATCTGAAGAATTTCAAATCTCTGCGAGAAACCGTCATCACATTACCAACAAGTGCCAAAACCTGCAGTTTGCCTCGGTTTTCGGCAATAACTTTTTTGCTCTTAGTCGGATCTTTTTAAGTGTAGTGCCATTTTGTACACCTCATAAATACCTGAAAATTTCGTCTCATATGATTATTAGACTATAAATATATCAAAAAATGTAAATTCATCTATTATACGCAACCCCCAAATTTGGTTTTTTCTATCTTGAATAATAAAAACGTTATAGGGGTGAGCCACCTTGGAAAATTACCCGGTATATTTAAATTTATGTTTATTGTATGACGTTTAGGCCACCACGCCATTGGTGAGGAAGTACTGATACCTAGAAAAAATATGCTTACATAGTTACATACAGTGCCATCTATAAGACACGTCTTCAAAGTAGATTTCTAATTATTGCGGAAAGAATAAACATAGCTGTGACAACTACGTGATTGGGTATTTTCAGGTAGAAGACGTGCTATATCGCAAGATAGATAGCAGGTTTTGATAAGTTAATCGCTTTGTCAGAAAAGGATTCTAAAATGGACGTTTCATTGCAGTTTTCATGCTTCTCATATCTCTTTAGGGCTTACTAGCTTTTTGCCCCACGGTTTTGCCTGCGGAATGTGTAGGTAGAGCCACTAATCAAGCGAACAGATCTTCCAAGCCTGCAAGTTGGCTGTCAATTAACTAATGGAATCAATCAAAGACATAAAACATTATCGGAACCTGTTAGCATTACTTAAAAACAATGTTTTGTGTCAATAACAGTTTCAAGGATATGGAATCGGGAGTAACAGCTGGTGCAAGATAACACATCAATATCACTTGACAATCACAGGTTGAGTGCATCAGCGTAGCCAGCACTACCACCTGAAACATTGAAAACAACTAAATGATGAAAATAAAATTATGAATATTTTTATAGGTATGTATCTAGATGCCAAACAATCGTCCTACGTGTGTTCCACAGTTCCAGTACTATTTGGTATCCTGTTCCCCTTAATGCCCGAATCGCCGTACTATCTGCTCACCAAAGGGAGGGAAGAAGACGCCAGAAAATCATTGAAATGGTTTCGGAGGAAACAGGACATCGAAGAGCCCTTCCAACAACTGAAAGCAGACGTTGAAAGGCAAATGTCTGAGAAAGGAACTTGGAAAGAACTTCTTTTGGTCCGTTCAAATAGAAAAGCTCTTATTGGAGGGCTATTTTTGAGGCTGTCTCAACAGTTCAGTGGGCTGCAAGTGTTTGCAGTGTATACATTGTATATATTCGAAAAAGCTGGTACTAACCTCAACCCGCGTATGTCTACTATTGTCTTCGTAGCTATAGTTTTGATATTAAATAGTATTTCATGTTGCACAAGTGAGTATCTTGGAAGAAAGAGAGCCTACATTATATCTCTGGCAGTATGTACCCTATTTCTTTGGATTATCGGTATTTATTTCTGTATCGATCAATTCCAACCTCAAATTGATCTCAGCTTTTTTCAGTGGCTTCCTCTAGCAGGTTTGATCTGCTATACTATATTCGCATCATTTGGTATATCGATAATTCCCTCTCTGATGCTAGGTGAATTATTTTCAGCTAGTATAAAATCCAAAGGACTATCTGTGTTGGTAGTTGCTTTAGGTGCAGGTACAACAACGATGTACTACCTCTTTTATTTTTTTAATTCCACATATGGAATGTATTTCCCTTTTATATTCTTTGCTGTGTGTAGTACTATATCGACTGCACTGTCCAATTGGTTGGTACCTGAGACTAAAGGAATGACTTTAGAACAAATCCAGCAATCGTTGTCAAAGAAAAAATCTGAAACTACCTCTTAGTCTGCGAGTGTATTTTTACTCAATTTTAGGCAAAGAGTGTTTTGGACAGAGCAACAAAGCTATGAGTGATACCATAAGATGTATCTCCTGTTTCCCCGTTTGGTTTTTCAGTGCAAGACGAATAAAATGTTTTTGTCAATAAACGAGATGAAATGCGAAAAGTCTAGCAGTTTTATTTATCCTCTTTCACATACTGAATTAATTTCGACAATCATTTATATTAGTTATATAAATGTTAATAGAATTGTATTTTTAGAAAGAAGTTCAAATTCTTGATAATGAACTACCCAAAACTGCTAAAAGGTAATATTTTTTGAAAGCTTGGTCATCCACTTAAAATAAATGGATTCTTATTTGACCCCGATGAAATAATAATAATGATAATAATATCTAATTATAATAATAATAATAATAATAATAATAATAATGTTTATTGGTCCAATTTTCGTATAAATAATAACGACAGTGTCCGAAAAACATAATATACCCAAAAAAGTGTACACTTGACGACGATGATCTACGGTTTCTAAGAAACAATATTGTCAAGTTAGAACTCCGTGATTTTCAGGCTAAATGAAACCACATATGCAGAAATTACTCTATAATGATCTTTCGGTCACCACAGTGGATTAAAATGACAATGACAAAGGATTTTATGTTTATGTCTTCCAGCTGACAGTTCGTTTGAATTTGCTGCTACTACACAGTGCATTGCAGCAACAGCTTGAACAGCCCTGTACCACTTCGAGATTCCAAGAAGCCATCATTACAATTTTAAGACGGCACAGCGTAGAACCAGCAAAGCCCAGGACTGCCTGGGGTAGGCGTTTCCGCGCCAATAAGACATGTATGCATGGGGAGCCAGCTCATATAGGAGAATGAAAAACAAGGCGATGTTGCCGGATTACAATCTGGCATCAACAGAAAATGGCGGCTTATTCCTGACATTTTTCAAATTTGTGCGTGTACTTATGGAAATATGTAATTTTTTGTTTTGGTCTATTATCATTTTATATTCAGTTTCGTGTTTATAATTCGTGTATGTATACTTCCTACATCAGTGGTATATTCCAGGTGGACGTTAAAACCGAGGTGACCTAAGCAACCTTGGTGTTCTGTGGATTTCTTGGAAAAAGGTTTAGATTAGATTAGATTTTTTAGAACATAACTGCTAATGTGAATTTCTACATGACTCCAAAGTCGCATAAGTGGAGAGCTATGAAAAATTCTACAACCAAAGTAAAGTCACTTCATTCCACCCTTAGTGATCAGAGATAGAGATCATTGACACTATAATAGGAACAACTTAATGTTTCAGAATCATGGCTAATTAAAAAATTGAGTAATTTGTGGAGATTCCTTGTTAGATCTGTGTGTTCATATTCTGTGATTGATATTGGAATCTTTCTGTATTTGTCAAACTTAAATATGTGCTTCAACATGAAGGATTTTGTTACATTTTCAAATATTTAGTTTCCAAATTAGCTTATAAGAATTAACTGAAAATCCTATATTATGATAATTTATAGTCGCCATAGATTTTATATAACTCAGATGAGTTATATAACATCTTTCACAAAGTATGATATATGTTTTTGGTGAATCTGTAAAAATGTACCTAAGTTATTCTTAACCATGTTTCGTACATTTTTATTATGAATGTGAAATGTGATTAAATATTCCTGTTTTATAATTCTCACGGTATAGAATCTGGAAACTCCAGTAATGTAATAACTACTTTTATGAAAATAATTTGTTTTCATCACTGATTTTTATAATTTTTTATGCAAGTGCTACAGAACACAATCAACATGAACAAAAATATTATTGATTTGTTCATACAATATTATAAAACTTAGATAAATATACTAACTGACATATAAATCCGAACACCCAGTTTAAATGGTTTTATTTTAATAAAAGTTGGTGAATGTATTTATCTTACTGTAAATAACAAGTGAAAAAATTTTCAGCCTTATCAGTTGGACATTCGGGTTTTTATACTGATTTTTTTTAATTCACTAACGCTCTAAAAATGAATATTTCAGCCGCAGTAAAGAATCAACGTTGGCGGATTTTGGTTCTTGACATCCTTTACGATCGGTTACGATGCCTAGAGTACGGAGACCTGTACGATTTCGTCAACTTAGTGAGTTTGATAGGGGCCGTATAGTGGGACTTCGGGAAGCTGGACTTTCTTTTCGGACAATTGCAGTTAGAGTGTAAAGAAGTGTAGACACTGTGGTTAGGTGTTGTCAGGCATGGCTTCGAGAAGGCCTTACGCAAAGAGCAAGGGGCACTGGACGCCGCCGTAGAACAACAGACCGTGAAGATCGCCGCCTAAGATTATTGGCCTTAAGGGACCGTTTCTCCACTACCAGGTCCATTGCAAATGAATGGCTTGCAGAACACGGAAGACCTATTGGCATGCGAAGTGTTTAGCGGCGAATGAGAAGTTCTGGCTTGTTTTCATACCGGCCACACTGGGTCCTCCCTTTAACTCGAGAACACCGACGTAATCGCCTTGAGTGGTGCAGAATACGGTCACTCTGGGATCAGGAATGGAACAGTATTGTCTTTAGTGACGAGTCTCGATTTTGTTTAGGCACGCACGATGGTCGTGCCAGGGTTAGAAGGCGACCATTTAAACTGGGTGTTCGGATTTATATGTCACTTGATATATATTCTCAAGTATTGATTATTTTTTACTGTTCCTAAAACTTCGAATAACTCGAGGCGATGTGGATGATTTTATAATTCTTGTCATGTTTGATTGACGATGCTAGTGGGACTTCGGGAAGCTGGACTTTCTTTTCGGGCAATTGCAGTTAGAGTGCAAAGAAGTGTAGACACTGTGGTTAGGTGTTGTCAGGCATGGCTTCGAGAAGGCCGTATGCAAAGAGCAAGGGGCACTGGACGCCGCCGTAGAACAACAGAGCGTGAAGATCGCCGCCTAAGATTATTGACCTTAAGGGACCGTTTCTCCACTACCAGGTCCATTGCAAATGAATGGTTTGCAGAACACGGAAGACCTATTGGCATGCGAAGTGTTTAGCGACGAATGAGAAGTTTTGGCTTGTTTTCATACCGGCCACACTGGGTCCTCCCTTTAACTCGAGAACACCGACGTAATCGCGTTGAGTGGTGCAGAATACGGTCACTCTGGGATCAGGAATGGAACAGTATTGTCTTTAGTGACGAGTCTCGATTTTGTTTAGGCACGCACGATGGTCGTGCCAGGGTTAGAAGGCGACCATTTAAACTGGGTGTTCGGATTTATATGTCACTTGATATATATTCTCAAGTATTGATTATTTTTTACTGTTCCTAAAACTTCGAATAACTCGAGGCGATGTGGATGATTTTATAATTCATGTCATGTTTGATTGACGATGCTAGTGGGACTTCGGGAAGCTGGACTTTCTTTTCGGGCAATTGCAGTTAGAGTGCAAAGAAGTGTAGACACTGTGGTTAGGTGTTGTCAGGCATAGCTTCGAGAAGGCCGTATGCAAAGAGCAAGGGGCACTGGACGCCGCCGTAGAACAACAGACCGTGAAGATCGCCGCCTAAGATTATTGGCCTTAAGGGACCGTTTCTCCACTACCAGGTCCATTGCAAATGAACGGTTTGCAGAACACGGAAGACCTATTGGCATGCGAAGTGTTTAGCGACGAATGAGAAGTTTTGGCTTGTTTTCATACCGGCCACACTGGGTCCTCCCTTTAACTCGAGAACACCGACGTAATCGCGTTGAGTGGTGCAGAATACGGTCACTCTGGGATCAGGAATGGAACAGTATTGTCTTTAGTGACGAGTCTCGATTTTGTTTAGGCACGCACGATGGTCGTGCCAGGGTTAGAAGGCGACCATTTAAACTGGGTGTTCGGATTTATATGTCACTTGATATATATTCTCAAGTATTGATTATTTTTTACTGTTCGTAAAACTTCGAATAACTCGAGGCGATGTGGATGATTTTATAATTCATGTCATGTTTGATTGACGATGCTAGTGGGACTTCGGGAAGCTGGACTTTCTTTTCGGGCAATTGCAGTTAGAGTGCAAAGAAGTGTAGACACTGTGGTTAGGTGTTGTCAGGCATGGCTTCGAGAAGGCCGTATGCAAAGAGCAAGGGGCACTGGACGCCGCCGTAGAACAACAGACCGTGAAGATCGCCGCCTAAGATTATTGGCCTTAAGGAACCGTTTCTCCACTACCAGGTCCATTGCAAATGAATGGTTTGCAGAACACGGAAGACCTATTGGCATGCGAAGTGTTTAGCGACGAATGAGAAGTTTTGGCTTGTTTTCATACCGGCCACACTGGGTCCTCCCTTGAACTCGAGAACACCGACGTAATCGCCTTGAGTGGTGCAGAATACGGTCACTCTGGGATCAGGAATGGAACAGTATTGTCTTTAGTGACGAGTCTCGATTTTGTTTAGGCACGCACGATGGTCGTGCCAGGGTTAGAAGGCGACCATTTAAACTGGGTGTTCGGATTTATATGTCACTTGATATATATTCTCAAGTATTGATTATTTTTTACTGTTCCTAAAACTTCGAATAACTCGAGGCGATGTGGATGATTTTATAATTCATGTCATGGTTGATTGACGATGCTAGTGGGACTTCGGGAAGCTGGACTTTCTTTTCGGACAATTGCAGTTAGAGTGCAAATAAGTGTAGACACTGTGGTTAGGTGTTGTCAGGCATGGCTTCGAGAAGGCCGTATGCAAAGAGCAAGGGGCACTGGACGCCGCCGTAGAACAACAGACCGTGAAGATCGCCGCCTAAGATTATTGGCCTTAAGGGACCGTTTCTCCACTACCAGGTCCATTGCAAATGAATGGTTTGCAGAACACGGAAGACCTATTGGCATGCGAAGTGTTTAGCGACGAATGAGAAGTTTTGGCTTGTTTTCATACCGGCCACACTGGGTCCTCCCTTGAACTCGAGAACACCGACGTAATCGCCTTGAGTGGTGCAGAATACGGTCACTCTGGGATCAGGAATGGAACAGTATTGTCTTTAGTGACGAGTCTCGATTTTGTTTAGGCACGCACGATGGTCGTGCCAGGGTTAGAAGGCGACCATTTAAACTGGGTGTTCGGATTTATATGTCACTTGATATATATTCTCAAGTATTGATTATTTT